TTTGTAGGGATTTCCTGCTAGTAAAGGCGGTGGAGAAGCAAAAGCATGAAAGGAGGGAGAAGAACAAGGTCACTGAGTGCTGGGGTGGAGGGGACTGGATGCCATGGAAAGTAGGGATGGAGAGAAGTGTGAGACCCGCTTTGGGGGCTGCCTTTGAGCCACTGTCCAGATCCTTGAGGCACCTCATTTACTGGCCACATGGCAGAGCAGAGCTGCAACTCAGGCAGGACCGTTCAGATGCAATTTAATACCTGGTGTCCCATCAAGGCACTTATAGGAAGGCACGAGTCCTCCCCCAGGAGAGATGCATTGGCTGCCTGTGAGGGCTGCATGCAGGCAGCAGTGGAGCTGGTTCCTGATGGGTGCACCCTGTGCGGTGCCCTGCAAGCATGCAAGCTGTGTGGTACCCTGCAAGCGTGCACCCTGTGCGGTGCCCTGCAAGCATGTGTGCTATGTGGTGCCCTGCAAGCACATGTGCCAGGCCAGGGGCACCGAGTGTCACTGCTCTGCCTATGGCCTCGTGCTGTCCCCTGCTCCCACAGCTTGCRAGGCTGCAGGAACAAAGGGGCAGCAGAGGCGGGAGCGGCGTCAGGCACCCTGGGCTTGCCGCTTGTTATTTCACTTGCGCTCCCATTAAGGCTGCCGCTTTTAACTTGTTTCAGCCTCTGAAGAGGCTCCAGGGTGGGTGGCAGATGCTTTATTCCCCCTCCGCCTCCCGCCCACCCTCCTCTCTCTTCCTCGTCCAGCTCCCCTTGTTCCCATAACATCCTCCGCCCCGCGGAGCCGAGTCCTGCTGCTCGGCTTTGCAGCGCTGCCCGCAGGGAGCCGCTCCTGGCAGGAGCTGGAGCGCAGCCACGGTGCAGCGTTTGCCTTGGGGCACAGGGCTTCTCTGTGCAGGCCCTGCAGGGCCAGCGAGGGCCGTGCCTGCGCTGCGGGATGCGGCTGGTCCCGATGCCCAGAGCCACCTTGCACGTCCTGCCTTCCCCCGTGCCCAGGCTGGCGCCTGGCAGACTCGCCCTGGCTCATAGGTGCACTGAGGTGTTTTGTGAAATCAGCTCCAAGGGGCTGGGGAAGGGAGCTTTTTTTCCCACTAATTGCTGCCGTGAGCATAAGTTGTGTTTTACACACGCTGTGCTCTGCTGGCAGAKCATGCACATGCAGATGTATCCTACTTTAACACGCTGTAGAGCAGCTGCATCACTGCATGGTCCAGGGAGCTGGGGCTGGAGTCCCGCTGCGCGTGGGGCTGTGCAAGGCCCTTTGCAGCAGGGCAGAGTGGAGCAAAGCACCACAACCCCGATCCCGCACCATTCACCTGCTGCAGAGGTGAGCAGAGGATGCAGATCTGGCTCGTGTGGCTGATATCTGCAGTTGGACACATGCAGCACAGCGCTGCTCGGTGGCACCTGGTACCTTGCTCCATGAGGGATGGCTCTGTCCTCACGTGAGCTCTGCAGTGCTGTGGTGCTTGGATGCCGGGACAGGGTCACCCGAGCACCCGCTGCCTGGGCGCTTTCCTTGGCTGCAGAGAGCAGTCTCGCCCAGCACGCTCTGGCACCCGCAGCCAGCACTATAATGAGATCTTAATAGTCCAATTACAGCCCATCGATTTACTCAGCACGTAATTGTCGGCGGCTGGGGCTGCCTGATGGAGCAGCGGCCCCGGCTGCCAGCGGGGCCCCGCGTGTGGGAGGCAGGGGGCTGCGCGGGGCCGTGTCACCGTGCGCGGCCACCAGCTGCTCCCCCGGCGGGGCGGCACGGGGTCCCCCCCTTGTCTGTCCCCCGCCTAACCCCGCAGTGGGAGCGACAGGCTAAGGTTGGAGCRGCAGCCCCGGCACAGCTTTGGTGCCGCATGTGGCCACAGCACAGGCTGAACGTGCCAAAGGCCATGGGCTCCCCGGGCATCCCTACGCGTGGCTCCCGAGCACCCAGCTGCAGGGCTGCGTGCACGTCCTCGCCTCTCCTCTGCTCACCGAGCTGCCTGCGCCTGCTCCAGCGCCGCTGTCCATGAGCCGCCCTTCCTCCCTGGGATGCCTGGGGAGGCTCAGGGCAGCAGCAGGCAGCGAGCAGGCTCCTGGGCAGCGCGGGCACGGGGCGGGAGGTGCAGGCGCAGGGGGCGGGACGCCGTCTCGCCCCCSCAGCGGCTCCGGCAGCTGCCGGAGCCCAGAGCAGCGCATTAAAAATCCAAGAGCCTGACGTGAGGCTCGGTGCGCGCACGGAGCCCCGGCGCGCGCGGGGCTCCCGCCCGCGGCTCGCGTGTCGCG